GAATGCTAAAATATCCACCTAAATGCCTTTCTGTTTGGTTTAAGCTACCTATCTGAGCATTAAAATCACCTGCTACGAGTACTATGTCTGAGCGTTTAGCTTTCTGAAGAAGTTCAGAAAGCTTTCTGTAAAATTCATCTTTCACTTCATCTGAGCTGCAGTCAGTGGGAGCGTAGACAGAAACGACAAAAAGGCAACGACGTGTGTCCCTATCCTTCCGAGTTCTTACGTAGCCGTTCAGCCGAACAGCACATAGACGACTGTTGACGGGGATCCACTCTAACAGTGCTTGTTCCGCCCTCATGCTTAGTGCTATGCCTACACCTGCCAGTCCACGAGAACTGGCCATCGGGTCACCAGATACACGGAGGGTGTATCTCGTTGGCTCTCCGTTTTGCCGAGGTGAGGTCAAGTGAATGACCACATTGGAATCCTGTATGCGTGTTTCGGAGACACAGCACACATCAATGAAAAGAGACTCTGGGGTTTTAGCCAAGGAAGCCTGCTGACCGATTGGACATAGGGTGCGTACGTTGAAGGCTCCAATGTGTAGTTTGGAGCGAGGTTTCAGTAGACCTGGGACAGAGTTTTGAGCACTAGAATCGTTGGCTATGGTGACGCTTGAGGAGGAAGCCGAAAGAGGAAGTTTAGAGTTGAAAGTCGATGTACGAGGAATAATAGGAAGTGAAGACGGAGGTTGATTATGAATACAGTGGTCTTCAGTGCTGTTAGAGGTATGAGGGCGGTTATCACTCCCCGGTTGCCCACACCGAGGAAGGGTTCTTCTGGAGGTACCTGAAAAGGAAATTGGATTAGAGGTGGTCTCAGTGACCTGAGAGCGTGACGGCAGTGCCCAAGGGACAACTGCTTGAGGCCGGTCGCGCACGGCCTTTTCGTGGGAGGTTTTTGACGTGTTAGCTCCGTTCTTGAAAGGGCCTTACCGCCGGAGACGGAAATCCGTGAGGTAAGGTGAGGTGTGACATTTTTAGGGTCGACCTTTTCTAACCCCACCCCTCCTTGTGGGAAGGCAGCGTCGTTGTCATGCTGGTTGTCTGAAGGAAACACCTTACTGCTGTCACACCTCTGTACAGTCAGCAGTACGACTTCGCCTTCGGACCTTGGGTTTGTTGCTTTTAGTCTTACCGCTCTTCAACCGACCTGTCTGACATGGTAGGACCTTGAGGAACAGTTGTTCCAGCCAGTATAGCTCGGTTGCTTCATCACGATAGGCAATCCCGACCACCACGTCAAGGTAGCAACAACGGTCGGGTAGATTATAAGTATAAATGGCTGATGATGTATCATACGTCTCCCGCCTAGAGGTTACGCTTACATGATTATAATGGGTGAATACTGCTTATGGATTTGGTAACTGAGCACTGAATGACTTTCAAGCCAAACAAAACTTGAAACCAAGGTGAGTACGACTCCTAAAATTTGCGTTCGTTTTTAGTGACGATAAATATTATCCACCAAATCGTTAATTTTATAATGTCAATATAATAAATCTAGTGTTGGAGGGAAAATGGCTGATGAATTGTTGAGACGTTATGATTTGCGACGTCCGATTTACCATTTTTTATCCAACGTGGGCATAAGTCTATCTGTTTCCAATTATTATAAATTCCAACTAATTCCGTAGATCTTTTAGACCGACCTCAGTGTATAATTAGATTCACTTGGAGATGAGATGTAAAAGGGGTTTCGTACGAAATATTTTAGGAATGGTTATATCCCAGATACTTGACCAGTAGACCAATAAGTTTAAAATATGTAGGAAGTGAGCGTTGAATTATGTACTGTATAGATTAATGTGTCAGTCAATTGTGAGGTGTGAATCGATATAAAAATTAATCATTGTAGTAGTTGTACTGTCAGTTTATGTGGTTTAAAAAATGCTAATGAGTGGTAGAGAAATAAACAAAATCAACACATGAAAATTGTACATGAGGAACGACATTATAAAACGTGAATAAGTACCAAATAATTAATAGAGTTGGAATGATACATTTCGTGGTTACATGACTGTTCCGCCTTATCCCAGTTCATTTACAGGTTGTATTAAATCCTACCGAGGCATCCAACCACACGAATCACTTACGCGTGAAAATCGAATTCCAATATCTATTTTATTTAGTGAATAGTTATATCATTACAAAATATATTTAGATTAGTGACAAACCTCAACTTGTGAGGTATTTATGGCAGTTAATATGTCTGTGTATATTAAAGAGAAAAATGCTTCCTTCAGTAATTACCCAGAAATTATCTACAACGTACAATGGTGTAAATAAAGTCGTCAGCTGACTAAGGTCATTGGTGACTGATAACAATCGAACAAACGACGAGAGCACAAAATATGGAAGCTGTTCTGCCGAAACAAAAAATAGAGTAAAGGTTACTTGTCTATGCAGGTACTTAAGAACAATTTATGGTAAGAAATACACGTTCCACACCACATTCTCAAAGTTGATGCCCACAAATGCCCTTGTACGGCCGACAGTGGGGAGAGTCCGCTCTCCCTCTCGAAATGCTCTCACATGGCCACACGTATATAGCCTCTGACAGGGGAGTCCTACTCACTGACTTCTCGCGGAGTGGGTGTTATTTACGAAATTGAGAGGACGAAAAGAGAATTCCGGAGCATTAACCGAGTTGGTGGACACGGAGAGTCCACCTAGGGAAGTTGGAATACCCTGATTCCAAACCGATGGTGCCCACGGGCTCCAGTATCCTGACAGAACAAATGGCGTATGAACCAATTGTTGGTCACTGGCCACCATGGGACTGCATCTCCTTACGATGCTCCACTGCCTTGTGGATGTGACCTTTAGGTCGAAGGCTCCGGGTATGGCCCCCTAAGAAAACCACCTGCTTCGGTTTGGCTACCCGGGAAGTATCACAGCCCTCACATATGTATCTGGTTCCCCCTTGTATCAATATATGTGTTCAAATAAATGAATCTCTAAGTTGATTAGATATGAAACTCGTTACTGAATATCAGTAAGTAGTATAGAGCAACACAAAACAAGAGGTGAACCAGAAGATCAAGACAGAATTGGAACAAAGGTAACATCTTATACAAACTTTATACATAAATTTATCCCTGCAAAACTGAGAGCTCGTGTATGTATATACTCTCTGTTTCAACTGAATTGTATAAGGCTGATAAATCATTGCAAAGTGCAATGCCTACATTTTGATTTCGACACATTACGCCAAACTGTGTACCAACGACCAAATATGGTTGCTCTAATGGTAAACAGAAACTTTTTTCGTATAGTTTATTTCACTCACTTATTCGTTATAACTATAGTTCATTCCATTTTCTCTATTGAAGAAATTCCCTTGTTTTCATTCGATGTCATGAATTATGTAATTAAGTAAATAAAAAAAACTGTTGATATATAATTTCTACATTACAAATTTAAAGTAAAGTATTTTCGAACGTTCAACATTTAGCATTTTAAGCACATTAAGAAACAATAGGCCTTCTTTATATAAATCAGTCGAATTCACTATTTCCAACTAATTGTTTATTTATATAAATACCTCATACTAAAGTAAAACCATGTACCCTTGAAATAGATCCTATCTTCAAATAGAACATTCTACCCTTTAGATATTAGTATGATTATTAATGGAAATAAATATTCTCCTGCAACATTAATTGACAACTAAATTTTATTGCCAACTTAAATAAACTTTTTTAAAATTTGACTATCATTTTTTTCTGTTCAACAAACTGTGTGGATAATATACTTCTTGTGAAGCTTAAATAGGCGTGACTATAATTTATGGATGAACCAATCAGGTATAAGATAATAGATCTCGGATTTTGGCGCAAAATTTACTCATCCATTTGGCTAAATAACGTTTTGCTATTATAGTTGATATCAGTTCATGATGAAAATCCTATATCTAATTCCTAACTTAAACCACTAACTATAAATCATGATACGAATTCCTCATACTAATTTATAACCCTCATTTGGTCCTAGTTATCAGGTAGACATTCTCAAGGTCAGTCTAGTATCGCTCAAAGGTCATTCATAAATGATAGTCTCATCCTTAAATATCATGAGTTCAGTTGTAGCAAGAAAACGGCCGTCTAGTGCTTCCAGGTTTTCCATGGTGGTCTAGCTTCAATTGACTCATGATTTCAATCTGTGAAATTTCTAAAATCTCCACAAACCCCTTCTGATAATAATCATCTGCTCACTAGTGACTGACTTCAAGAGATACACCTGGAGTTCTAGTGAGAAGCTGTTACCAATGGAGTTCGACCAGGTCTGGTGTGAGATAGTAACTCACTGAAGACAATGGTGTACGGTGGCGCAACTCCGTGGATTGGTTGAAGTTAGACATTAACACCATTGGATGCCGGTTCAGTGGTCTAGTTGGTTAAGAGCTTGGCGCGAGACTGATTGGTCCTGTGTTCGGATCTCGCGGGGTGTTGGATCGTGGATGCGCACTGTTGAGAAGTCCCATACTAGGACGAAACGGCCGTCCAGTGCTTCCAAATTCTCCATGGTGGTCTAGCTTCAATTGGCTCATGATTTCAATCTGTGGAATATTGAATAAATTGATAAAATCACTTTACGAAATTTTAAAGTACATTTAGATGTTTTAGTAAAATTTCATATGAATGAACTGCTTTCCAATATTGATGCAAAAAAAGAAAAAGAAATGCATGTTTACCTATCATTTTTGTTTATTCAAAACAATTACGTCTATTACACATTAACATTATTTATATGTAAAAGGATATGTTTATTTCCATTTGTATTTCACATTTGAAACTGGATATTTTATGATTATGTATGTTAACTAATAAATTAGTTTATTCATCAAATATTACTTTTAATTGCTAAGAGAAATGAGCCTGTGTACCCGTGTATATATATATATATATATATACATACATATGTTGGAGAACACTGAAATTATTCCAAGTATTATAATTGTCTAACTGTTCAACTTACAATTTGTATTTAGAAATGAATTTCTTTACACTTTACGTAACTTTAGTGTACACCATTCTCAGCGTGCATTCAAACTTTGAACCACGTAAGTATTATTTTCTAATGAAGCTTTATTGTAACATATTAAAAGAAATATAACTATCGAAAAATCTAATAAAGATTCAAATACTGATAACCAATTATATTTCATAATGTACTTCTTCTAGACAATCACTATGAGAAATTGTATAGTTTTAAAGAATTAACAATGGATACATAGCCATATAATCAGATCTTTACTGGCTTATAATTCTCGGTCACTTGTTTTGTAAATATGCTCATATTATAGCAATTTCCTACTTATCGAATTTATTTTAAATAACTGATAATGTATTTATACTCCATTTATTCACACAAAGTTGAATACATCAAAATACAAACAAAAATGAGATAAATTCCTTGTCTTTCTATCTTTTGGAAAAGCAGATAATGGTAATGATAGTATGAAATGTATTTATTGATGAAAATGGACTTCATGGGAGCGAAACTTGACGATGAACATGAATGGCATCTAAACAATGTTTAATAAAAATATTTTTACATATATCTTTAAATATTTACAAGCGAAATGGGCATAACATTATAATATAATAGTTGAATTTCATAAGTCAATTGAAGCTAGATCACCATGGAAAACTTGGAAACACTGGACGGTCATTTCATTCTAGTATGGGATTTCTCAACAGTGCGCATCCATGATCTTGCCTCACGAGATTCAAACCCAGAACTTATCAGTCTTAAACGCGAACACTTAACCTTTAGACCACTGAGCCAGTATCCAACGGTGTTATCGTCTAACTTCAACTAATCCACCGTTTACTATAACATTATAAGTTGTTGCAATATTCTCTAGTATAATAACCAATATTTATAGTTCATCTTTCCTAATAATGAGTTCATAATTTGGAAATGCTGTTTTATTTGCAGTTATAGAAAAAGTAAATTATTACAAGTAAGAATTATTAATGATAAACAAATTATAAACATTTTTTTAAAAACAAATTACATTTTATCATAATAAATGTAATTCAATATCTATCAATTATTATTCATTTAAATAAGGTTGTATTATGTAACACTTAAGGATGCTTCAATGTGTAATCGTAATGATATCACGCTTGCAATTTCACTTATTAATTTTTGTTATGTTATCAAGTTTCAATCTGTATTGGAATTATTATATACAGTAAGACTATTGTGTACATTAGGCAAATATCACTTTTTGAAAGTCTAGAACCTGAAGTTTGTGCTGATAATGTCGTTCAGAAGAACTATGAAAGCTCCACGACTGAACTATCCAGCTCAGAGGACAAAAATTTATCAAAAAGTTTAGAACATCATGTTAGTATGTTTCTAACATCTATTTACCTTGAACTATAACAGCAAACAATAAGGGAATTTGATGAAACATGATTTTGTTTATAACATGTTACATTTTACAAAATAAACTAGTATCGAAGGACTCAACGATGTTCAATAGAGATAAACACCATTTTCTTTATATTTGATTTAATGAATTACAAATTTCTCGAACTTCGAACAGTAAATTTTCGTAATAGCTCATATCAAAAATGAATTCGACATAGATAACTGTTATTTGATAGTTATTGGGGTTTAGAATATTAAAAAAACACAAAGAGAAGTGTGAATACACTTTCGGTCAAATTGAGTCAATACAAATGATCGTAACATCAATGATAAATCAGATATAATAAGTTCTAACCTATAATATAAGGTTAACTGTCATCATAGACTGGTATCGGCTGAAGATCTATAGGAAACCATGAAACACTAAACAGTAGATAAATGTCAAGCGAAGGAAAACACACACAATGAATTTAGTCAATGACCATAAATAGTTTTTCCTCTACAGTTAGTCATTAAAGCTAAATAATTTACCCATATTAAACATAAAGTGACAGGTATTATACTTCAAATGAATATTTCATCATCAAATGTGATTCATATTCTCAGTCAGGCATTAATCTAGCTTTTGAGTTTTTTAAAAAGTTGCTTCCAAGAAGGTTTTATTCATTCTTTACATCATCAAAAATCCTAGCACGTAACATCCCCATGTAGTATTATTAACGTCAACTAATTGTACAATGATTCACCAATGTCTTTGTCCTGGGGAGCTCTACTTTAGTATGTATTTCATTAAAGTTTATTCCCGGAAACACGTCGAACAAATCAGTGTATGAGTTTCAAGCTCATTTCAAGACAATGATGAAGAAACTCGATTTTATTCACTTGTTCTATTCAGATTCTGAGCTCAATATTACTAATAATTCGACGTTTTCAACGGCATCTTTCCAGTCTAGGTAAATATAATAGTCAAGTCACACACAAGTAAGACTTAATATATGAACCTTTATATATAGTATTCTCTTCACATTATTTAACTCAATTATTTTGAGAAAAGAAGCTAAACTTATCTGCTCAAATATTTCCACACCAGCATATCAGGTGTATTTTCGTTGTTTTATCTTATTTTTGTCACCGTAATTGGAGATATGTAGAAAAATCATTAGCATATTCGAATCATAGAGTGTCAGTCAATTATGATATAACGACATAAATTTTTTTCAGGTCTGAACTCACATGCAGTAATAACAATGATAATTCGACACAGCTTTAAAAAGTGACTCGGTTGAGTATTATGAATCAAGGTTTGAAGATTTGCAATTAAAGGGTGTTTCGGGTTCATGAAATCACTGAGTGGAATGTGTCAAGTGATAAATAATATGGAGTGATTAAGTAGTGTCTTCTCTCGAAACTGGATCACCGACATAAGCGTCGAATGAGCTGATGTCAGAAAACATGATATTTGTCCAGCATAATAGTTTCTTTTCAAACGAAATAACATACTGATTTGAAAAGTATTAATTTGTAAACAAGCATGATTAAATATCACAAGAGACTGGAGGAAAGGTTACTTACTATCCAGTGAATAAAAAACTTTTTTACGTTACCTTTGTGACGTGTGATAATTACTCCGAATCAGTAAAGATTCCTTGATATGTTAGACACCAACTAAATTGTTATAGGAATAAGCTTCAGTGTTTTTTATCACAGTTCAATGAGAATAAGATTACTTTCTAACTACTTTTCAAATAATAGTAGAGATAATTAGAATTTTGGAAATTAGGGTAAAAAGGACACTCGATGGTATCACTAATCTTGTTCGTATCCCTTTTAGTTCTATTAACAGAAACTCTGATAAGATGCCTGAATACGACGAGTAAGTTTTTGACCTTTGATTTTAGAAATCCATTTCAATTCATTGTTCGTCAAAAAGTTTCGCTTACAGATCAAGTTACATAATTCGATCTACATACTGTGACCAACTCTAAGAACTGAGATGTTAATGCGAGTATTACGATACATTTTGCCACATGAATGAAACATTTCCTAGCATACTCCAAGGTGATTTTCCTTAAGAATTGACATCATTTATGTCAGGACCTGTTGGAATTTAATAATTTAATGTCGTATTTGATATTGGATGAGTAAGTTCAAGGAATGTCATGGTTAGTTTCCTAACCGTAATTATTTCTCGAAAGCTTCAACTTGAAAAAAGACATACATTGTCGTATAGTGTATGAAGAATAATTTTACCCGTAATCTCTAATGTTAAGATTGAAAGTCGCGAAGAATAATGGTGAGCAATTTCCAATTAGAGTTACATTAGTCTTTAGCTAGCTTGAAATAGAGAGGTTGCTGTTGCCTAATAAATTATTTCTTCCTATTCGACTTTGCCAAACTCTTAATTAAAAGCTGAGAAACTACTGATTTTAAGTTGTACTTACTTTGAAATTAGTTTAGTTTAGTCTATATGATTTAGTTTGTAATTCATATAATCTGTTGTTTCTTCAGTACACATGTGATGCAAATGAAAATATTAGTACTTGTTAACAGATTTAACCCTTTTATGAAGGATTACAAAAGTAACCCAAACAATGTTTCTCCATGGATTATCATAAACGATCATACCAACATTTTCCTTTACCACATGTCTTAGCCAACTTCCCGATTTTCCACAGTAAGATGAACATTTTTAAATATGTTATTCTTACTTCGATAGTTAGCAATTTTTTTGATCAAATACGAAATGCCTAAATGGTTCTATTTGGAAAACTAAACATGGTATTAATGAAATGCTATACAACAGTACAACCTTGTAGGTGATTGAAAGTAATGATTTAATCGATGTATTATAGTTCGCACCTTGATTGAAAAAGCTAAATTGTGCTCCGAAATAAATAACACTGCATCCTTTCTTTCTAATCTCCATCACACTCAAAATCTTCCTTTATGCATGAATAATACAGACACATTTTATTCAGTACTATTACAAACGTCACAAAATCATGCAGTTACAATAAATGTGGCAATTTCATGAATAAATCTTCTAGAAAGACCTAAACGAAAATAAAAACTGCTCTAACTTAAAGTGTCTTCATTAGTGGTGTTGATGTGATACCTCTGATCATATTCAGTGATTACATTATTTTCACACTCAAGAGTACCTCATACCAGTATTAAGATAGAACGGAATATGAAAGCTGACAGAAATAGGCTTTTGAGCTGTGATTTACACGAGATGAATAGCTCGACATAACTGAACATTTGATAGTTCTAAATCCATCTGTCTACTCTTCAGTATTTTACAATTCCATTAATTGTGTTTCGTGTCTGAGAATTAAATTTTATTACTCTGTCCGTGTAAATTGCTCAGAGGTAATGTCCCGATCTATTTCAATATGGATCGTGTTTGTAAACAAACAACATGTTTTCCCATTTTATTAAATGGTAGTGGTAATGTTATTTTCAGCAGCGTTTATTGTATTACTCTAATGATATTTTTTCTAAAATTATTGTAGGGTTCAAGCAAACTGCGATTTGTAGTTACTAAACTTTGTTCTTCATGCAAGCTACAGTGAAACGTCTGAACTCTGTCTGACATACATATTATTTGGCAAACGATAGAATTAAGTTCAGTCGTTCTGTTTGTTGGGTTGTGGAGTTCATCATCTGAATGTAGCCACGAGTGTAACTGTGATTATTCGTCTTGATCTCTAAACCGATCACTTTAAATAATAAAAAATTACTAGCTATAATACCTGGATCAAATTACCATTTTTCTGGCTTCAATAAAACCAATGTCACATTTACAGAAAGATGTTAAACCAGTTTGGTATTTAATATTCTGAAAGTTATCAGTTGAATATTAGATACCGTCCCAATTAGCTCTTAATTTAATTTCACATTTGGAATGGAAGTATATGCTTGCTATTATTCAAAGCGTATAACTTTCTGTTTATATCAAGAAATCTAGTGGTCACACACACACCATCTCTGATAATATATTTAAACCCATGCCATTTATTTACCCCTTAATCATTCTGTCAATTATAGTAAGCAATTAGAAGAAGAAGAGTAAGACTACTTATTCCACATCAGATTTTATAATATGCTTTTTCATTATCTAATCAAATCAAATCATATTTTTTCCTATTGTATATCTAAAAAAATACGATATAATACAGTATTATGGAAACTGAAGGGTAAACCTGATCCTCCGAAGACTATTTATCTTCCATAAAAACGAAATAACTTCTTATTTTGATTCCATCACACAAATTTTCTACATCTTTCGTGTTTATCACTTATATTACTATAGAGATTACAGTTTGTTATTTATTTTCAGTATGAGGTTGTGGAGATCATGAAGTTATTGATTGAGATCTTGAACCAATTGATGTTAGACCACGATTGAGAACCTGGAAGCACTAGACGGCCGTTTCGTCCTATTGTGGGACTCCTCAGCGGTGCGCATCCACGATCCCGCTCGCGGGATTCAAACTCAGCACCTTCAGTTTCAGAAGATGTCCGCGCAATTTCGTGGATTGGTGGAGGTTAGACATTAACACCGTCGGATGGCGTCTCAGTGGTCAAGTAGGTTGAGCGTTCATGCGGGTGCGCATTGTTACTTATTCCACTGTGCATATATTCGATTTAATCTGACTAAACATTTAGATGACTACTTTTGTTTACATACACCACAACGAACAGTAGTCCATTGTCATGAACGTTCAAATAATTTTTTATCCCATAGATAATCGAATTACTTAGACCATTGTAATTCAAATGAGTGAATTAGATGTATTATCGTTATTATTGAATGACAAAACAAATTAGCAAGTTTTCTGATGATAAATATTTGAATAGTTTTCCAGCAATCAAGAAAATACAAACTAATTATATTATTATGTAATTCAGAAGTTAATTCTATTGACATTGTTACTAACTGGAAAGATTCCGAAAAGAGCTGTGTACAGATTATAGATGATCTATGAAAAGTGATTTCAATATAAGAACTATTAGAAGGGATTGAGTAACCTTTAACAGGGCACAATATCTTATTTGAAATGTTATGCGCTTGTTTATGGTATATTGCTCTGAACATGTTTTATTGGTTATTAGTTTTAAAGATCAACAGATTCACAGAATGAAAATTTTATTATTCCATTAATTAATATTTGGCTGTTAAGTTTCACTTACATAAAACCTCATTTAGGCCAGTATATTAATTATTCTTTGTTCACTTCAGGAGCCCATTTCACAGATTTTCTGAACTGTAAGTTGCAGACTGACATGGCTTTTTTTTATGGAACTAATTAGTGTACATTCAGCCATGCGTATATATATTGTATGATTGATTTTAGCTTAAGTGATGACATCATTTAAACCGAATTATAACGACTGACTTTGAAAACATTAACGGAATGAACATCGTAGTGCAAAATGTCTATTCAATAAACTAGTTTCTTCGTTAGTGAATAAATCATACATTCATACTGTAAATGTTAATCATGTGGAACATTATTTGACGATTATTTAAACACGAATGACTCTGAAAGACTTTGTAGACCACACAATTGACAATGAATTCAAGTTCTGACAATGAAGGCTAATATCTCTTTCTTGAATCTATTTTCATCGTAGGCTTAATTCTGGATCTGTGTAAGTTTTCATTGATGTTTACTGTTTTTTTGAGATCGTAATTTCTTTTATCGATAAAATAAGTCATTTAACAATAACAGGATACAATATGAATGATAATAAATGTACCTCAGTAATCTGATCGTGTTTTATCACTAGTTACATACGTGATATTGTGAATGAGGAAACCTTACTTTTGTGGTATACTAAACAACAAAGTGTATCGTATTTGAGAAGGATGTTTATTCGCAAGCCAGATAAGAGAAACTGTGATATGATTTCTACTCATTGAATTTATTTATATGTCAGTACCTCCAGTCATTGTATAATTTGATTGGCATTTTGTAAACAGACAAGACAATGTGACAATTCGACATTCTTTTTTTTAATGATTGAGATCATGAGTCATTTGAAGTTAGACCACCATTGGAAACCTGGAAACACTGGACTGCCGTTTCGTCCTATTGTGGGGAGCCTCAGCAGTGCGCATCCACAATCCCGCCTCTCGAGATTCAAACCCAGGAGCGCGAGCGCTTAACTACTAAACCACTGAGCCAGTATCCAACGGTGTTAATGTCTAGCTTTGGCTAATCCACGAATTTGAGCGACACGTCAACCCTTTGTCATCAGTGAGTTACTATCTCACAACAGACCCGGTTGAACTCAACTGGTCACTGCTTCTCACTAGAACTCCAGGATATACCTCTTGAAGTCAGACGACATTCATTTGAAAACTTTCACAGAGACTATAACTTCACTTATATTTATTGGATATCCTCATTTTATTTAATCATAACGGAAATTATTATTAGGAAAGCATACTGCCGACCATTTCGAATTTGACCACAGTGATGAGGAATATTCATTCTAATTTTCAAAATATTTACACAACATAGCCTACCATTGTGGTTGGTGAAGTGAGTGAAATTTTTTTAACTAGTATTAAATTAGTTTAAAAGTTTTATGTTAATAATATTATTAACATCACGTACTGATCTTTATAATAGGGGGATTGAGTATCAGGAAGCATTGGCTACCTGTCTCGTCACAGTTTGTGATCTCTAAACTGTATGCATTCACCACCGAAACTAGCACCTACGGTTTTAAAGTTCCATGCTATGAAGAAACAGCTGTTCAGTGATTTATGGTTATTTTTAGTCACTTAAAAAGGATTAGTCACTGGTGTTAACTATAAGAAGTGGAAAATCTCCATTAAGCCTCCTATAGTAATTTAATGTCAGTTTGTGTATTAAATCACTTGCATTGTAAAATAGCATATGAGGAAAGTGTTAAAATCAAATTATATTGATAGATAATAGGAACGTTCTATGGAATTCGTAAATGTTGAATTTATTTCAGCAAGATAGCAGATTATATTTGCTCCCCTCTTATTTTTCTCTAAAAATATTAATTCCTTATCTTTAGTCCAATGTACTATGTATTTGAGTAAGTTTTATTTCGAAACAACTTAAATCAAAATATACAAAAAGTTAACAAATTAGTTTCTAAATTATGTTTTATACTGATTGGTTATTTTTAGATTATTCCTTCTTAAATATTAACAGATTCGGCAAATCACTTCAACCTTCATTATCGCTTCTGCCAGTGTTCAGTTATAAATTATTTATAGATTCTTCCATTGAATGATTTTAATGAATGTATTAAAATTCATATTATTATTATTATATATTAGTTTATTTAAGGTTTTTCTAATCGAATCCAGTACACATATATTTTGTCTACAACATAAAAATATTCAGTAATATCAGAAGGGTTTTATTGGAGAATGTAGTAATTTCAATAGTTGAGATCAAGAGTCAATTGAAGTTAGACCGCCATGGAAAATCTAGGAGCACTGGATGGTCGTCTCATCCTATTGTGGAACTCTTGAGCAGTGCGCACCCACGATCTCCCATTACAGGGTTCGAACTCAGGACCTATCAGTCTCGCGCGTGAGCGCCTCACCACTAGACCACTGAGTCGACATCCAACGGTGTTAATGTTTAACTTCAACTAATCCACGGGCGTTCAGTGCTTCCAGGTTTTCCATTGTGGTCTAGCTTCAATTGACTCATATTCTTAAATATTCAGTTATATTTACATTTTAGTATTTACACTTAAATTATTAACTTCACCATTAAAATATTTGATTTACAATAATGAAATAATACTCATTGAGTGGATACGCTACGTAATAATTATATAATGGAATATAGATTATAAATTAACATTGAATAATTGAAAGAAAAAGGATTAATAATAATCAAAGTAATTATCTGAAAATTAGGCAGTTGCTACGTTGCATAATATATATAAAAAAAGAGAAAGAACTAACAAAATATTTTGATGAATGGTCAGCAGTATAGTAGTTATGTAAGAATCAAGAGACGAATGTTGAGAATAAGCAAAATACAAAAAATGGAAGAAATACGAAAACATTTTATCAAAGGTTCTGCTACAAACTCCCGTATACCGATGGCCAAGATAGCGAGAGTGATTGTACAGACTTCTTTCGGATGCCAAGTTTAGATTTGTGAACATGGATTGCAATGGCTTCAACAATGTGCAAAAGACGCACTTGTAAACCATGTGATAAATTTGATGGAATAACCTTAAAAGCTTTGTTCAGTTCAACTTGATGACCTGTGTCCACCACATAAGCGAGAATAGAACTCGTAGTCACTCTTATCTGTCCTTTGCTCAACCATGGAGGATGGTGTTCTGTTATACAACGACGAATTTGCCGAATTGTACGTCCTATATAACTGGCTCTACAGGGGCATTTGAATCAATAAATACACATAGATGTGGCGAATTCAGGTAATCTGTCATTATTAGTCGTTCTTATTTTGAGGCGGTTGTAGAAGATGGCAGACAGTTTGGCTGCATTAAATGTTTTTTGTACCGCCTTTCATCAAAATATTTTGTCAGTTCCTTCTCTTTTTTTCATATATTATGCGACGTAGCAACTGCTTAATTTTCGAATAATTACTTCGATTATTATTAATCCTCTTTCTTCCAATTATTCAGTGTTAATTTATAATCGATATGTCACTACATAAAATACATATATCTATTATATTAAGTCTGTTTTTAGATTTTTCATTTCATGAGATGGCTAGTGTTATTTTCATTACTGAGTATAACAAGCACTATAAGGATTTTATATAGAAAATAATAAACGAAACAGTAAATCAGAGGAATAAACTCCTTATCATAATTTCTCTGAACAATCATTGTATTAATGACAAACTATCTGTTTATATTAATTTCTAAGAGTGTTCGCAAGGACTGTATCATGTAAGTTGAAAGATATTAATTTGTTTTAGTGAATACTCTAAACTGATTAGACTGATTGATTTCATTGTATAGGAGTTATATGGATGGTTGTAATAAAATTAGTAACTGAATAAAACCAATCATTGTACTATTGCAATAATTTGATCCATAAATTAAACTTTCAAGTGTCTACTATGAATGATTCTGAAGTTCAGATCTAGTCACTTCATAAAATGTTTTACAGTTTTATAACATTTATTGACTGAATCATTTCTTATAATACAAAAATCATACCATATACAATAGGATGATATAAAATGTCATCAATATAAGCAACATGACTGATAGTATTATGTAAAAGATAACTAATCCTTATTAGACACCAAAGTCTACATCATATAATAATTGAAAAGAAGATTTACTCAAAGATGAATAATTAAATTTCTCAGATTGAAATCATGAGTCATTTGAAGCTAGACAACAATGGAAAACCTGGAAGCACTGGACGCCCGTGGATTAGTTGAAGTTAAACATTAACACCGTTGGATGCCGACTCAGTGGTCTAGTGGTGAGGCGCTCACGCGCGAGACTGATAGGTCCTGAGTTCGAACCCTGTAATGGGAGATCGTGGATGCGCACTGTTCAAGAGTTCCACAATAGGATGAGACGACCATCCAGTGCTTCTAGATTTTCCATGGTGGTCTAGGTTCAGTTGACTCATGATTTCAATCTCCACAAACCCCTTCTGATAATTAAATTTCTCCTATGTATTTATTGTTTTTCATCGACTACATTATATCTTTATGTTCAATTCTTTAGATTACGTAAACTAAATTCGAACGGATGAAAATATGTTGAATGATATCAATATGATACACGTTGACCAATTCAAATAAAATATCATTTTTGAATTTATCATCATCATAGTTTTTTTTCTCCCAAAGTAATACATCTTGTATTGAATTAGTTGAGAGGTATAATGTTAAAACAGTTCAGTAACTAGAAATAAGGTAGGAAATAGTGAAAATGTTTTATGGCTTATCATATAAATGTATTTCGATGTAAAGGCTTGTAACTCGTCATGTATTTTTGTTTATTAAACATGAGCAAACTTTACATTATATATAAACATAAAGGTTTCGAATCACATATAAATATAGATGTTGTTAGTAGTATAAGTCCTTTCCATCATATATCCCATTTCATACACATAAATCCGTTTATCACTTTGAAAAGAGCAAGAATAAAGATTCTAGCAGAATAGCATGAATTTCTTTTATTTTATAGGTTCTCGTCGGTTGCTTACAACATGAAAGGTTTGGTTGGAAGTTATATTGAAGACATATTCGTACACCATTGTTATACTATACGAATATGTCTTCAATAAAACTTCCAATCAAACCTCTTATATTGTAAGCAACTGACGAGAACCTACAAAATAAAATGAATTCATGATATATCCAATTTGTCAACTCAAAAGAAATATAACCTACTAAACAAATATTCAATCAAATGTCATCAGTTTATGGAAACGTGTATTTTCCATATGTTTTCTAAATAGTCATTAAATTATCAGATTACCATTTGATTCAACATGGTAGAATTAAATAAAATCATTACGATCAAACATTTGATATTCTTCTACTATTGTCGATTACGATTAAAAAACAAAACAAAACATCCTACAATAGTTTATATGTAATTTGTAAAAGCTACAACTAAATACATTGACTAACTATTATTGTATATTATTTGATATTTTATACAATAATTTGAAAAATAAATGATGGATTACAAAGGCAAAAAGATAATGTACTTCCAATGTATATTTGTATATTATTCACTCGTAAAAAACTTTATCCTATGAATCATTCTCTTAGAAAATAAACACAGAAATAATATGAAGAATAAAAATAAGTATTGTTTTCCAATATTTAATGAACAGTATGGGGGTTGTGGAGATTATAAGGTTTTTGATTGAGATCATGAACCGATTGATGTTAAACCACCGTTGGAAACCTGGAAGTACTGGACGGCCATTTCGTCCTATTGTGGGACTTCTCAGCGGTTCGAATCTCGCGGGGCGCATGATCGTGGATGCGCACAAATGTCAAGAGTGTTCTTCTGTATGAGGCGAAAACCTGGAGAACTACGAAATCCATCATCCAGAAGATAAAAGTGTTTATTAACAGTTGTCTTCGCAAAATTCTCCGGATCCGTTGACCAGACACTATCAGCAACAACCTGCTGTGGGGGGAGAACAAACCAGATCCTAGCGGAGGGAGAAATCAGGAAGAGGTGCTGGAAGTGGATAGGACACGGATTAAGGAAAGCACACAACTGCATCACAAGGCAAGCCCTGACTTGGAATCCTCAAGGCCAAAAGAAAAAAGGAATACCAAAGAACACATTACGCCAAGAAATAGAGACAGAGATGAGAAAAATGAGCAAAAATTAGACAGAGCTGGAAAGGAAGACCCGGGACAGAGTTGGTTAGAGAAAACTGGTCGGCGACCTATGCTCCATCGGGAGTAATAGGCGTAAGTAAGTAAGTAAGTAAGTAAGCTGTCCACTACATAGGGGGGCACATGTTAGAGGTTGTACGTATGTCTAACCATAAGCCTGCCAAGACCGATGTTAGTAGCAGATTTCCTAAAAGAAGTAATAGCGACGATTGACTTAACAAGCAACAAGATGGTCACGAAGTACGGCTCATTCTCAGTGAATAAAAGTAGCGAAGTGGCCAAAATGAGAGTAGCAACAGACATTCCGACGAAGGAACTAAATAATAACGAATTGTTCATAAGGTGTACGAAACTGTACACGGGAGACGAAGAGCCGTACGGATTTTGTGACAAAGTAAAGCATGAAATTCCGGTAAAGAACGATCGAGTAACTATATCTGTATCTAGAGGCTGAGGTTAGTCGACAAGTCCAGATGTTGAAGTAAAGTGTAATTGAAGAGGAGGACGGCCCATTTAGCTTTCCAGTACTATTTATAAAAAAACCGAATGTAAAGTACGGGTTCTGTGTCGATTTTTAAGAGCCGAATAACATAACAGAGCTGAAACCATGTGCGATGCCAACAGTATCAGAATGCCACAGTGTTTACAGTACTGGATTTACGGTCAGGTTATTGGCAGCTGCCGATAGTAGAGCGATCAAAACAAGACAGCACTTACCGTGCGTGATAAGCGGTATCAATTTATACGAACGCGGTTTGGGTTGGCAGGCGCACCGTTAACGTTCAGAAGATTGGCGACGCTGCTGCTCGAAGAGATAGAGAACGCCAGGGTGTATGACGACGACTTAGCTGTGTACAGCCATACAGACTAAGATCACGTAAAGCATGTGGAAGTGATCCTAAGGAGAATTGAAGAGCTTAGACTACGAATTAATAAGGATAAGTCGCAGATGGCGAGGAGTGGCATCTTGTTGTTGGGGTATAAATTGAGAAATGGAAAAGTGAAACGGCTGCCGGAGAAAATTTTAACCATAAAGAACATTGCAGTACCTGATTGGAGAAGGAAATTGAGGCAATTTTTGAGAAGGGTGACATTCTACAGTCGGCTCGTCAAGAAGTTCAATGATATAACAGCACTCCCATTGAAGTTGTTAAACAAAACTAAGTTTTCGTGAACAGAGACCACTGAAGAAAACTTTCGACCAAATCAAAAATCTGTTAGACGACCGCTAGATGACGCTCAGGTTGACTGACCTCAAGAAACCGTTTACAGTGGCCACATATGCAAGTGATCATACTATGGGTGCCGTCTAAATCAGTCGGATAGTGTGGTGGAACACGCGAGTCACGTCCTCACATCCACTGGACAGGAGTATTCAACGGTAGAATAAGAGTGTCTGGTGATTGTGTGGGCAGCAAATAAATGGAGACTGTACCTGCTAGTCAGGCGATTCCATACCGAGACTGATCAAAGACTTCTACAGTGGTTGAAAACAGTTGGAGATCACTTGGGAAGTTGGCGCGATGGATGATACGTCTGCAGAAGCATGACTTTAGTATCGGGTGTGTTTCAAGGAAGTAGAATGTAATGGCGGAGTAATTATCGGGGCCGGAAATTAAAGCTTAACGTCCACTGACAGCATACTCAGTGAATAGTCTAGAGGAAGACCCACTAGAACTTGTCCGGCAGCAAAAGGCTGACTAACCTTAAAAAGGTAATCAAAGGAATAAAAGAGGGCGCAGACGTCGACAAACGAGCAGTGGACAGTGTAATGATGTTGCGCCGGCAGAAGGAAAGACTAGTGATTAACGCAACAAGGCAATAAGGAATGTGAAAATAAAACAAGTATCAGACAAGAAGAATGCGGAGCATCAGAGAAAGAAATGGAAACTCTTCGCAGTCGGGTGCTTGGTAAAGTGTGGAGAACAGAAAACACCTTAACAGAATGATTGTGATCAGTGAAGTTGATTCAGAAGTTGGAAGGGACGTACAAGTGGTTGCTTAACAAAATTGTTTTCTTCTGCCATTAATGGGTAACCATACTATTATATCCGGACGAAGAATAAGTGAATGTTAACTGCTAGGATCTATTTATGAACTGTTATTACGTATATTCTTATTGTTTAACTATAAGTTAACTATATTATGTGTATGTTCATATTTCTTTTACTACAAGCTTTCATTTGACCTATTGACTACTATTATACGATATGCTATTCTTAAGTTATTCCCAATTTATTAGTTAGAGCCTTTCACAATCACAGCCACTTTTTGGCTTGATCTTGTATAATTGTCAATTTCTGTTTTATGGTATGATGTGGTCTTGTTTGTTTGTATATAAACCAAGTATGTCTGAAATACATGATTCATATAACGAAGGCTGATATTGGCCTTCTGGACTGAACCGGCTGGGTTAGATGAGAAGCTACTATCTTGTAGGACCAATCAGAATCTCAGAGTTGACTCTAGGATGCTCGTACCAGCTTTGGTGCAATCATCTCAGCAATTAAACAATCACCAAGTTAAATATGAAGTTGACTTCCAAAGTTATGTTTCGAGGTATGTCTGGGGAGTTCATGTATGAAATCTATGATTCTCTGATCATTTCAACTAATCATTTTTTGAAACTTTGCTTCACGTCTACAAAGAAAGCTACTATTTCTTTATCTGACCGATCAGCTGTTGTTGTAGAATTTCATTTGAAACGAAATGACTTTTTATGGGGTTTGTCTATGAGATTTGTGTATAGACCGTAAGTATCTTTTCCAAAGAGTGTAAGGGATTGAGAAACACAATCATCATTTTTGATATGATTACTAGTTATGTAATAAATTTCATATGTTAGAAAATAGATATATTAATGAATAATACTCTTGCAAATAAAATCCAACCAGGTTCTACAGTTATACATCATGGGGAATTAACCAAAATAACTTCAGTAGAGTGTTGAGAAAAACACTATTGGTTCACATAAAATTTTTTCGTTGAAGTATCTATGTATATTCGCGAGATTTTATACTATGGTGGTTTATTACAGTAGTGTAGGAGTGCTTTTACGACAGTTTACTTCGTATTGATCAGTTGTAATTCACAAACATTTATACAATGAGAAGTATTCGTAAAGGATTTGTTACAGAACTCATTGGAGAACCCCACAAACATTATGTAGTTGAAGAAATGACAATATTCTACTTTGGAACTGATGAGGATGCACTAGAAGGCAGAATTTCTCATGTCTTTAATGTAAGTTCTAATAGAATGGGGATTTCGTTGTAAAAAGTGATTAGGATTTTATTTAAACAATTCTGACGTATCGAAAACTTAACATGTAAGTAAGGTAAGATTTATGGAGCGTCTGTGGTCGACAT